CGAGAGAGAACTGCAGACCGCCATCACACGGGTGGGAGGAGGCAGAGCGTGCCCCCCGCTAGGTACGACACTGCATGATTTTTTGACGACCGATGAAAGTTACTCGCGAGATATTCTATTTTAAACTTTCGGCCGGCAGCCGCTCCGCGCTCGGCCACCTCCACCCCCACCAGCGCCCGCCGAGACTTCCTACATCGCGATAATTCCTGAAAAGGAGGAAGCCATTTTGCGCGGCTACACGCTCGCCGCGTGGGACAAAGTACCAACCGCTCTCGCCATTACCCTCTTTTCCACCTTTTTCTTCCTTTTCCCAGCCCGAGGATGACGGATCGCGCGGTGTTAATGCGCGGCTATTTCGGACCCCGAGGAATTTCCGTGACCCCGCGATTTCTTTCGCAGCTGCTGCGATCGGCGGGGACCCCGCCGCCGATTTCCGGGTGCACGGCGAACGGTTTTGGGACGATTTTTCTAAACGGCTCGCGTTCGAACGTACCGAAAGGGAATGCGAAACGATGCTCGAATGCGAATTTGGACACGGTGATGGAGCTGTGTTGGTATAGGAGAATGGATTACGTTCGTCTGGATTGTTTCATTCGGTTAATTCGAATTGCCAAGAGAGTAAATAAACGATTAATATTACTCAATAAAGGGGTAATTGATTATATAGTGTATTTATTATGTAATTATTGTGATCTCCGATCTTGTTCTTCTAATTTCGTTGGATTCAAAATGTCGACGATTTGTAATATGGATCAGACCGATCAGCTGATCATTAATTTTGTTATTAATATTCCTTTAGATTTTCTTTTTCTGTATATTTATTTATATACACTCAACACTGTGAAACAGATGAATATTGAAAGATTAAAGATGAGGAACAACGTTGTACTCGGTGTGGAAATGTTTTTCGCCTGATCGAAGCTTTCTTGCTCTGTATATTCATTTATATATATTCAACACGGTGAAACGGATGCATATTGAAAGATCGAAGATGAGGAACAACATTGTACTCGGTGTGGAAATAGTTTTCGCCCGATCGAAGTTTTCTTGAAACTAAACGAAACCGACGACGATCGAACGTGATAACGTAGCTGGAAGTACAGTAATGTCTCTCTAATTGACGTCCAGATTGACCACAAAAATGAACAATTTCGGAATAGGAGATACGATTATTCGAG